GTACATACTTCAGGAAGAATCGAATGAAATTTAATCCTTTGCGTACCCAAGACACTAAAGAAAAAATCGGAAGAAATGTTTTCGTTATCGCACGCACGATAGTAACAAAACAACCGAATGAAATTTAATCGTTTGTGTGCGCAATATACTAGCGAACCAAAGGAATAAAAGAGAATTTGAGAGTGAGAGAGATAACAACGAGTCAGCCGAATGAAAGAAAATACGTAGAATGCGCACGAAACTAATGATACAGCCAAAAGAGAATCCTGAGAGCGCGCGAGGTAATACGGAAACGATCTAGTAAAATGTTATTCTAAGTGTGCGCAAGATCCTAACAAAACAATTGAATGAGAGATAATCCCTAGTTCGCGCGAAATGTTAACGAAACAAGTCTGGGAAAGATACTAACAAAATAAGAGAATGAAATGTAATTCTAAGTGTGCGCGATATACTAAAGAAACAATCGAATGAAATGTAATCTTCAGCTCGCGCAAAGCCATCCACTGAAGATAATCCTAAGTATGGGCTAGATACTAACGAAACATGGGAATGAAATGTAATTCTAGGTGTGCCCGAGGTACTAAAGACATAAGCGAATGAAATGTAATTTTATGTGTGCGCAAAAATATAAAAACATCGAATGAAATGTAATCCTTGTTGTGCCCCAGAAACTAACAGAACAAGAGAACGAAATGTAATCCTAACTGTGCGCAAAATACTAAGAAAACAATTAAATGAAGTGTAATCCTAAGTGTACATAAGATACCGACGAAACAACCGAATCAGATGTAATCCTAACTGTGTGTGAGATACAAAGATAATGCTAAGTCTACACGAGATACTAACTAAACAATGAAATGAAAGGTAATCCTAAGTTTGCGCGATGCACACACGAAACAAACGAATGAAATCTAATCCTCAGTGTGCGCGAAATACTAACGAAAAAATTGAATGAAATGTAATCTTAGGTGTGCGTTATATACTAACGAATTAAAGAAATAAAAGAGACTCTTAGAGCGTGCGAGTCACTAACGAATGAAATGAGAATGAAAATGATTCAATCGAAACAAAGAGAATCCTAGGAGAGCGTGACTAAGTGTCGAAAAAAATCGTATGAAAGGTTGTCGTAAGTAAGCGCAAGATACTATGGAAAAGAGCAAATGAAATGTAAACCTAGTGTGCGCAAGATATTAACAAAACAATAAAATGAAATGTAATCCTCGGTTCGCGCGAGATATTAACGAAGCAATCCTAAGTGTAAGCAAGATACTAACGAAATAATTGAATGAAATTTAATCCTAAGAGCGTGTGTGATAATAACGAAACAATCGAATGAAACGTTATTCTATATGTGCGCAGGATACTAACAAAACAGCCAAATGAACTGTAATCCTTAGTGTGCGCGAGATACTAACGAAAGAAGCGAGTAACCCTAAGTGTGCACAAGATGCTAATGAAACAATCGCATGAGAAAGAGACCTAAGAGTGCGCGAGATACTAACGAAACAATTGAATTCAATCAATTCTTTTTTTCAGGCTTCGTTTCTGCAACTGCAGCTCTCCTGTGAGGATTATTGCGTACCTTGTTTCTATTATTGGTAACACTTTACCGTTGCAGCGACATATTCAAACTTAATGAACATCACTTGGTTCAAAAGATGTTATTGCAAATGGTCTTTTCTTGAAGTGCACCAAAATTTTGAACCCCTTGGATGCAAACTTTTAAGGTACCAACAACAATTCAATACTATCTTCCAGAGGGGAAGAGGAATCCAAAGGAAGGAATGTCCCAAAATATTTCAATTTGTGATATGCAGACTATTTGTTACTTTGTTAGGATGAAGGTGTATGTGTGGTGTTTCTTGAAACAATGGCTCACTATAACTGTCATAAACAAGAGTCTAACAATTTCAGCCATCAATATTGCTTTTAACCCTTTACAAAAACATCAGTATAAATGTTTTCCACACTGTTCTTTATACAGCGCCTAAGGAGCTGAAAAGGAGAATTTGTTTAACAATCAAGAGCTTTGGTGGTTGGTGATCATTTTCTTCATTCTTGTGACCTTCCTGGATGAAACTGTAAGGAAAAATTGTGTGCTAGTTACTTTTTGGGGTCCAAAATTCATCACTTTAAGAATGAATTGTCCTCACTCCAACCTGTCAAGAGTTGACCCACAAATCCCCCACAATTGTATTGTCCTTTTGAAAATAAAGATGAAATTGGTTAAAACTATGTATCTAATATGTCAAACTGTTAAGATTATTATACATTCCACTCACTATCTCTTTTGTGATAGGCTGAAAGTGTACAGTGAATTTTCGAAATCAGTGCCTAAGATATAATCTAACTGCAGATTATACAATAATCATGTCAAGGACACTAAAAGTCACAGGTAATCATGTCATGTATGACCTTGCTGCATGATTTCTAAGGTTATTCATGTCAAGTTTGTAACTTTGTTGCTGATTTGTATATTTTTACAAGTTTAGAAATAAATTACCAGTTCCACTTCCTGTCATGACCATTTTTTTTTTCGTTCAATGTATAATTAAATGATTATTTGAATCGGTTTTTATGATATCCAGATTATTAAGGTCTCGGTTAAGGTTATCAGCCTCTGCTTTGACTGATAACCTCTACCTCGACTTTGATTATTCATCCAGTCATTGTTTGGAAAGGAATCAAGTCATTTGAAGGCCTTTTACGGCAAGAGGTTCAAAACCCAGCGAGGATTAGGGCCTGAATTGATTGCAGCGTAAATCACAAAATTTAGGACAGACTTTGAGCCACACATAAATTTTTGTCATTTCCTAACAGTCTAAGTTAAGGGATTATTTGATACGATAATGCAAACTTTGTTCATTCATATTCAAAACAACAGACCACGTGCCCGTGACCGCAAAGGTTTAAATTTCCTGCTGGAGTGATGTTTACGGCACAAAGAGACCCACAAAAACAGTCAGATAACAGTGAGACTCTACCGAGTTAACTGATTACGTACAAGATCATTTAGGAAATAGTTTAAGAGACAAACCTGCACAAAGTTGCCAGTGTATAGCACGGCCACCTTCTTAATGTTTTGCTGCAATTTGTAACCCCTTGCCCCCCATTTTTGTGATGAAACGAAGGAAAAGTTGTTCTAAAAGGTTGATGATATAAAAAACGAAGTGGTCGTGGGTAGTTTATCTTAAAATACGTCTTATACCTCAGCTAAACTCAATTCTTACCAGTCGCCATGTTGAAATGCACTTAGTCCCAGGCTCTCTGCGTCTCGTAAATAAAATTGGCGGGAAAATGGCGACAGGCAAGTATAAAACGCGGGAAATACAGTTAACAGGTCGGGAGTCAGGTCGTGTCGAATTGCATGTCTGATTAACAAATAGATTCCAAGTTGCCGTGCGTCTGTTCAGTAATTGATCACAGATGACGTCAAAATGTGGTAAGAACAAAAAAGCGGCACACGAGGCGCAGCCGAGTGTGTCACTGATGTTCTTACCACATTTTGACGTCCTCTGTGATCTATTACTGAACAGACGCACGGTTACTTGGAATCTATTTGTTTTATCTAATAAAGAATTAAAAAAAAAGTTTTGATGATGACGTCATCTATACGTCTGTCCTCCATTATATAATAAGCTCAGTTATGCACGCATTCTGATTGGTTCTCACTTATAATCTACTGGAGGACAGACGCATAGATGACGTCATCGTTAAAACTTTTTTAAATTCTTTATTATATAAAACAAATAGATTCCAAGTTGCTGTGCGTCTGTTCAGTAATGGATTACAGAGGACGTCAAGTTTCACTTAATTTACTTCTCCATCCTTGTTCAGTTGTTAATTATATAATCAGTGACACACTCGGCTGCACCTCGTGTGCCACTTTTTTGTTCTTACCACATTTTGACGTCATCTGGGATCTATTACTGAACAGATGCACGGCAATTTGGAATCCATTTTTTAAATAGATCATAAGTGAGAACCAATCAGAATGCGAGCATAACTGAGCTTATTATATAATTAACAACTGAACAAGGATGGAGAAGTAAATTTAGTGAAACTTCTATAGTTAAAGTGGGGGTAATTTAATAAAAAAAGAGAGAATAAGGAAAGTGGTACAAAGTTTAACCTTTCTTATTGGTGGAAAGCTTTTATAAAAATTGAATAAAAGAACACTATAATAACAAAATGTTTAAAGACAGATGTTGCAGGAAAATGACGATATGACTAAAATTAGGAATCGAGAAAATTTTTCTGTATTTTCCAATGTGTATGAGATATATCTTTGACTAAGTTCCTATTCCATGTGTTGATTATATTCAGGCAACTTAACTCTACACATTCTTCTGATGTGATTGTTTGTTTTCATCCACCAGAGAAAAGATACACAATTGATGTTAGTGAATTTCTTTTTTATTTTTTCTATCTACAAAGGTATACAAAGTTGTGGATGTTAGATCTATTTTCCCTCTGGATTAACCAAGTGAAGACCATAAAAGAAAGTTAAGCAGGAGCCGTTTAGGAGCTGCAAAAGAAAATTTTCTTAGTAACTAGAACAATAATATGATGCAACCCTTTGCACCATGCTAAAATGCACAGTTTGCTATTCTATTCCTTCAGCATGTGTGCCACTTCTCTATTCTTGCCTTCTTTAATATCATTTGTGATCTATAACATCATAGACACACAGCAAGATGGAATCTATTTGTCAAATAGATCATTGATCTGGTCACTGAAGAATAAAGTGACACACAAACAGCTCTTTTTTTATCTTTTCTGTGGTCCACAACTGAACAGTTGTTGGTTTAAAATTGTTATAAACTTGCTGAATAGGATGCAAGAAACAAGAAAAAAAATTTTAATTAGGTAAGATATTTCCAGGTCAAACAAAAACTTCAAGACCAACCAGGGTTGAGATTCAATTCAAATAGTAAATCATCTTCTGATTGGATAAAAAAAGGTGAGCTTTCAGCTTTCAGTATAAACCTTCTAAAAATTAGCATCAGTAATGACTCAGTTTCTTTTTCTTTTTCATAAAATGCCCTCCTTTTAAAAATCCAGGAAAATCTTGCACACATTTCCAAAACTGTGACATATTATGCAAAAGGTTCCCTCTTTTCAAAATGTTTTAAAATGTGCCCTTAGTTTTATTTTTTTCATGGGAGGGTTCCTCACCCTATGTACATCTTGGGAATGTCAAGCACTCAAGGGTTACTTTTTCATATTACTGCTATAGTAAAGTCTGATTTGGGGTTGATCAACTAAATGTCAAGTTAAGGTCCAGCGGAAAGGAACTGGAACACCCTAAGTGGGCTGAAAGATGGACTTAAGTGTCTCTTTAGCCTATAGTACCATAAAGTATACCGGGAAAAAAAACTCAATCAATTGATAAATGTTCTTGGGCCTTTGCTAAAACGATGGGTTTTTTATGTCTAAAAGACAAATCCCTTGGCTCAGAAATAAGGGACTTGTGTTGCTGGGTTAAAAGTTATGGGCTAATACCCCTTTAAAAAATTACTCCTTGACAAAGACATACACAAGTCAAGTACTCAGATCAAATATACCAACTAGCCTGACAGATCACTAGCATATAATGCATACTCAGATGAAAGAAAATAATCCTTTCAAAAGTTATAGTCTAATAATACATCAAGAAAATCCATTATTTGATGACATTTATATTCTGAACATGAGACCTCACTTGCTTTTGAGGCATTATAATTAACAGTAATACACTGCTCCAAAGTCATTTTCAATCACTCATCATCTTTTCTTTCTTCTTTTAGTTCAAATATTTTGTTTGCAAATTCTATGGCCTCCTCTACACCTTCACATTTGCTCTTCCACAGTTCAGGAATCTCATTTACTCCCCAGTAAGCTCCACTGATTGCTCCTGCCATGCTAGCAATTGTGTCTGTATCACCTCCCAAAGAGATAGCATAGTTAACTGATTCTTGAAATGACTCTCGTCCCTTGTGAAGAAATGAAAATATTGCAGCGGGAACTGCTTCCTCAGCTCTTATCCCATTTCCAAATGTTTCCACCACTGTCTCAGGTTCCAGTGTTTCACCTTTATTTAACAGTTCTTTCATTTCTTTTAATTTCTTGAAATACAAAAAAGGTTTCTTTTGAGGTGAAGAAGTTGAAATGTGGCCACTAAGAGAAGAAAAAAAAACAAATAAAGAGGAAACAAATGAATAGATAAATAATAAAAGAATACTACTCACACATACCACTACACATAAAATTAACTAGTTACGTGAGCTACCAACACAAAAGGATGACCCTGTAGCCCCAGCAACAATTTCAACATTCTTATTGGCTCAGAGCAAGTTTATTTGATCCTAAAAAGTTTCCAATGTGTGCATAAAGTTTAATTTAATACTTTTAGTTTTCAGTATTCAAATAATTTCATTGCAGAAAGCAGTCGTCAATGTTTTAGAAACTATGAATTGTGATCACCCAACATGTACATGCTTGCTGGCTTTGAAAGTACAAAATCTGCTCCAAATTGTAATTCAGATCATTTGATTGTCTACATTTATCATACCACTGATAAAACACTATTTCTTGTTCAATGTAGAACAGGGCACACAAAAATAATTTCCCAACCTATTTGAAAACCATAAATTACCAATGTATGCATTAATAAATTAAAATGCACATTGTCAGTATCAATATTAATATCAATGACTAACATCCTGATAATTTTGTCATTTGAATTATTTATAGTAGAAACTATCAAATATCAACTGTCATCTACTAGATCCCTTTTAAAAATTAAATCCATAAAAGTACTGAGTTGAAATAAAAACTTTGTTCATTATTACATTACCCATCTTCTTTTTCTTTACTAGATTCTTCATACTCTTCCTCAAGCTTTTTGGCCACTTCAAGGAGGTCATCAATAAATTTGTCTGTGTTTAAGTTTGGTGGTTCAAGGGGAAGAGCTTTGAACACTGCCTCTGCTTGCAAGACTGCTCCATTGACTCCATTAATGTGTGCATGTGTGATGAGTGCATTCTCTTGAGCATTCTGTCAAAACAAAGGTAAAATTTAAAAGATGTTAAGTCTTCATAGACTTATTCCTTCTTTGGACTTATTTACAAATTAAAAAACATTAAGTGTGGCTAAAATGAAAATGGCATGCAAACCAAGACCAATATTTGAGCAGGCATGCGATAAAGTAACCCAGGTGATGTCTGTGCTGGTTGTTCAAGGATTGGACTTACACCAACAGACTGATAATTGCTATGCAGCAAATCCCATTAAATCCCATTTAACGTAAAACTTCAGTAGGAACATTATTGGTTATCAAACAAGTTAGATTAATTCTCCATGGGGTCTATTTCAGTCCATCTGTTACAAGTAAAATCCTTTTGTGTATGTTCCATGCTACCCATGGAAACCTCCCCCCATCCTCTTGGGTTGGGATTTTGACATTTAGGCACTGCCTCAGGGTCAGGAGTTTGACCTGGCCACCATCTTGAAGACCAGGCAAGTCATCCAACATCTTCGAAGTCATCTGACAGCAACCCCATGAAAGTCACTCCATCCTGAAGCAAACCATTGGTAGGTGCATAGTAAGAAAGTTCAAAATAATATTGGAATAAATTTGTTCTTTACCAACACTGATGTGCTGGGGGGAGG